CAGGGTCCTGGGATCGAGCCCAGCATCGAGCCCCACATCGAGCCCAGCATCGAGCCCCACATCGAGCCCCACATCGAGCCCCACATCGAACCCCACCTCGAGCCCCACCTCGGGCTCCCTGCTCAGTGGGAAGCCTGCTTCTCCCTCTTCCACTCGCCCTGCTCGTGTTCCCTCTCTAGCTGTGTCTCTCTCTGTCAAATAAATAAATAAAATCTTTAAAAAAAAAAAAACAAAAAACTCGCTCATCCAGGCTGAGCCTGATGAGATCCGGCGGCTCTTCTATGGTGTTGGTAGTTTGCTGCTGGTCCTCGTCGTCCACCATGTTTCAAAACCCAAGACTTCTATCTTTATATGGTATATAGACTTCCATAAATTGGGTCCTTGCTCTCTCCAGCACGGTATCAGTGTTCTCTCCTTGACTCTGAATTCTAGCAATTCATACAGCCATCCAAACTCAGGATGCTTTCCTAGACTTTGCTCTTCATCTTTGTCCATGCTGCTTTCTCTACTCTGCCCTTCCTTAACCCCTATTAAGCCTGCAACTCTCAACTCAGATATGTTCTAGTTCTAGAAGCCTTCTCTGACATGCCTCTTTCCTGTCCCTCCCCGCTCCCCATAGGCTGGTGGCCCCCTCCAGTGCTTTCACGCCATTTATCAAACCAGGCTGTAATTGCCTGCTTATCAGAGCTCTTTCTTGTCATTTATATCCCTAATGTATGTTACATAACAGACTGGAGTCAATGTTGAGAGAAAGGAGAGAGAGACAGAGGGAAGAAAAGAGAGAGAGAGAGAAAGCCATATCTCAGGGCCAACTGGTTCTTTACTAACTTTTAAAATCACCCGATTAAACTCAAATGTGACCTCTGCCAGGCTTTTTATAGAAGATTCGAGCTCTTTAGTTCTTGCCTTTAAAGATGCCTCCTGAGGCCACCCTGCCTCCTTCCCCTGAGGGATCCGTGTGAACTGAAAAGCTTGTAGGGAGGAAGGCCTGAGGAAAATATACTACACATTATTGTCTGAGCTTGGAAGGAAAAGCCTTGAGAGGCTTGGAATGCTTCCCACAAGGCAGGGCAGATCATGGGGCAAAAGCTTTACGACTTTTAGAAGCAAGCTCTATCTACATTTTGACGACAATCTTAGAGTTTCACAAGGTATACACTTTATAGTGAATAACTTCCAAAGATTTCTACATCTCCTTTTAGGGTTGGTTTTCACTTATCTTGCCGAAAGTAGAGTAGGCCCTGAAATTTATTTATTTATTTTTTTAAAGATTTTACTCATTTATTTGACAGAGACAGCGAGAGAGGGAACACAAGCAGGGGGAGTGGGAGAGGGAGAAACGGGCCTCCCCCCAAGGAGGGAGCCCAATGTGGGACTCGATCCCAGGACCCTAGGATCATGACCTGAGCCGAAGGCAGACGCTTAATGACTGAGCCACCCAGGCGCCCAAGTAGGCCCTGCAATTTAAAGTTTTACCAATTTTGGGGGACTTCAGGGGTCCCTGACAAGGGTTATAATTTATAATTTTGCTGGGTTATCATTTTGAATCGCGAGTGTGGTAGGCCCTTGGGAATCCACATCACGACCCATCAGGTCATAGTAACCCATGAAAGGACTAAAGAAGGGATTGTTAAAATGTTTCAGGTACATTTGACTGCCCCTCTTGGAGGAAGTTTTATGGCACAGTGCTATTCAAGATGCTCTTGCAAATAGCAGGCATCTACTGCAATGATTTTTAGCTTGCCAGAAAAAAAAAAAAAAAAAAACACCTTACGGTCCTGAAACTTAACCATCAAGCCCAGCAATGTGACTCAGGCAAATGACTTGAACAGATGGGTGGCCTTCCTAAGAACCAGGCTAGAAAAACCATCTCTGGCAACATAGCTAATTTTGTGGACATGAGAGTCCTGAGAAATCAAGGAGCCTGGAGGCTGAACTTGAAGGATGCCCCTTCCTTCAAGGACCTCCAAAGTGGCACTATCCACATCACTAAGCCTCTGGAAATGGAAATGTGCGTTACAGCCTGATGTGACCTAATCCAGGAGGAAATGACTTCAGTGTCAGCTGCCTTCCAACCCAGCTTCTCCCAGAACACAAGGTTGTAGAGGTCACAGACTCGGGGGTCGAACAAACCCAGCTTTGAGTTCCAACACTGTGACTAACCGATCAGCTGTGTAACCTTAGTGAATTTATTTAAATTAGGGTTCCCCCTGCCCCCCAGTGCCTTTCTTTGTATTTCACATGACGATTCTAACATTTACCTCTTAAAATTGTTCAAGTGTAAGCCGGACGATGTTCAGAATTCCTAACTCAGGACGCTGGACGCAAAGGCAGACACTCAGCCGCAGGGCAGGACCTGTGTGCAGCCTCTCTGGGCCCCTTTGATTCCTTTGCCCACCCCCCCATCCCCCCAGAACTTTATAGTGAAACCCTGAACAAGCATCTTCACGGTCTTCTCTCCAAGGCCTTCAAATCAATACTCAATTGCTCATGTTTCAAAGTAGGGAATTTGAATCCCTACTACAGTTAAGAATCTGAGAACCTAAATGGGCAAGAGAAATTGAATTCAAGAAAACTTTTATTTTTTGAAGTGAAACAGGCCCAACATCAAAAACACACTAGAAACGATTCCCCTATACCAAGGGGGGGAGACACTGATGATTACATTCCATTAAAGCGGAAGGGGCTGTTAAAACTCCTCTTCTGTCCACAGACCCTTGAGAATGTTGTCGAACAGTTGAAACATCTGGAAACCCATGCCCTGTTTTTCTTTCAATTTCTCACAAGGATCAGCTGCTGATTCCCAAGAACAAAGCAGCACCCGGCCAGTTCTATAGCCCCTCCCACCACCACTTCTTATCTAGTAAGAGTCAAGCGAATCAGACAAACGATACGACTTTTTAAAAATTATTTAATTTAGTAGTTTTCTTGGAAAAAAAAAATAAGGCAAAAAAAACGAAAATATATATAGTTTTGTTTTGATGTGACTTCATTTCACCTGAAGGACTCAAAGCTTCTCCATTAGCAGGAATCGGACTGGGGATCAGGCTGGGAAATGTAGTGCAGATGGTGGAGGAAGAAAGGTGGGGGATAAAGCAGAGACGTTCAGTTTGGTTGAGAAATTCCTGCTCTGGCTAAAGCCCCAATTAGGTCACAGCCTTGGCGGGCCTCCTTGAAAGAAGCCCCAGCACAATCCCGCGCTTAGGTTGGGAATCGGGTCTTAGGAGGAAACGCCCCAGCGGTTGCCTGTCTCTCAAGTGCATCACAGCTAGGGAGGGAGGAATGACGAGGAAGGAATAGAAGTACTAATTTACCCAGTATAAATCCAATTTCCATGCAGGGCTGGCTTCCTCTGGAATGATATTTCCCCCAGGACCCACACCGGCTGAGGCTCAGCAGTTAAGGAACAGAAACGAAAAACGCTAACAAAAAGCATACAAGGAAGGCACCTCAATTTGTGATCCTCAACCAAGGGTGGGCTGCACAGGGGCAGATTTCTGAACAAGACAACTAAAACAAATACAGAACACAAAATGAAGGAAGCCAGGGCCCGACAGGAGCAGTTCTTCTACCCACCCCACATGACGGCACTTTCAGCCCCACGTCCTAGGAAGAAGTGTCTTTTGGGAATCAGCTGTGTGTGCTGGGATTTGGGCAGAGGCAGAATTAAACTGGAAACTACTGTCCTGACTCTCTACCCATGCTCTTCCTAACAAAAGAAGGAAAAAAGGCAGGAAAGAGTTAGGATTTCATTTTCAAGACTCAGGTAATTAGGAAAGCAGAATTTAGACAGCAGTGGGCACTCCATCATACAGAGGGACCAAGTCCCTGTTCGGTGGCTGCCGGAGGTGATCCTGGCTCAGGTTCTGAATCTGTCTGCCCCTAAAGGATGGAAAACAGAGGAGGCTCCCGTCCACATCAGTATCCAAGAGAGAGTACCAGGGAGACAAAGGATATCAAAAAACAAGATTCTTAATGGGAAGAAGGAAAATCAAACAAAAAAATTAGATTTTTCTCTACATATATATAATATACAGATATTTAACACATTATTTGAGAGGTGGCTCCAGTCCATGGGGCTTGAGAGATGGTGAAAACTTCTGTTTCAAATTAACCCCTTCTCTCAAATTCTGAAGTGTATCAGAATGGGACAGGTAATGCTTTGCTCCACACTGGGGCACAGACCCAAACTGGTATTGCGCGGAGGGAGAGAGAGAGAGAGAGAGAGAGAAGGGGGGAGGAGGGAGGGAGGAGCAGGAAGGGCAATGAAGAATGGGGTGAGGAGGAACTGGGAAAGCAAAGTGGCTAGCAGTCTTTTCCATCCTGCCTTGTGCTCTCAGAAGTTCCCCATCTGAGGAAGGCCATAAAACTCCCTTGGGAAGATAACGCAACCCTCCTACCAACCGCCAAAGTGGCCTCCGGTTGCTGTCAAAGACGGAGGACAGCAGAAGGGTATTTTACACAAGTGAAGATAGAAACTTCCAAGAAATGTCAGTCTGTGTATTCCGGTCTTACAGGACAAGCCCCCTTGCAATTGTTCCGACGCTGTAGTTATCTTGGGATGGATGCCCCAAGAGACTGACCCCGTGTGGGACCCCATGTCGTGACGCCACGCCTAAGCATCCCTGCGGTCATTCGCGATGCCTCCATTGGTTAAGTCGGATGTGCTCCTCGTTCAAGGAGCTTCTGAATTCAGCTCTCGCTCTGAACAGCACCAAAACGCCCCTGCATCATCACCTCACGCAGACCTTGGCTGAGCAGGATCCTACAGGGGAGGGTGAATGACATCACCTTAAAGTGGGGGCAGAGGGGAAAGGACGAGCCAAGACCGCCGGACTCTGCAGAAGGGGAGCAGCGCTACGTTCCGGCCACTAAACCTCTCCCTCCCAAACACAGGGATCTAGTGAGTCGATCTCAGTTTCAATCAGCTATAAGGCAACCAGCCAATCACCACCACTGGTGTCTGCTTCTGGTGATTGATTTGGACAAAATGATTGGTTAAGACAGACAAACGGGAGGAAAGCGCTTGGTCAGAGCCCCAAACGCCCGCCTTCCCGCACATCTTCTGTCCTCCTTTGGATCCTCCTCTTTTTCGTTGCTGCTGTTTCAGAAAATGTCTGGGCATGAGGTCCAGTCCTGTTTTTCTTTACACTCCCAGTATCCTCCCCTATAAATATGGGTTAGCTCCTTGGTAACAGGGTCCTTCTTCCGCTCAAACCAGAGCGCCTTATAGGGGTCGTAGGGAGTGCCTAAAAGGGAAAGCGAGTAAAGAAAAACAGAATGAGAGCCAGAAACACACCAAGTGATTCTCCACCCGTCGAGAGAGGGGAAGACAGGTTCGTTACCATCCTCTGTGGCTTTCACAGCTTCTGCTTCTCTCTTCTTTCTGGAAAGTCTTTGCTTCTCCTCCAGGCGCTGCTTCTCAGCATTGGCTTCATCCCAGCGCCCGTTTTCCATCAGTCTCTGGTCAGGCCGCAATCGGCTGTCTGTGGGGGCGGTGCCACTTTCCCAGGCGTTGAGCGTCAGAGCAAGCTCTGAGAAGTAGTACATGTTTTCTGCATTCTTCCTACAAGTAAAGGATGAGAAAGACAAAGGGTGATGCCAGAGACCCCTTGTTAAAAGCACACTGCCAAAAGACAGCCTCCCCGAAGCTGTTCTACAGACAGACAGACTCTAGGACCAGGGCAGGTTCCCCTCATGCAGAGGCCCAGATGGGACCGCTCCCCATCCCCTCCCCTGGCGTCACTCGCTCCGGGAGTTTGCTGGGCTTCTGCTGTGCTCAGCGGAGATCAGGAAGAAATTCCTTAGGAAGAATGAAACATTCTACTAAATGGAAATTCCTTACTCTTATTTCCTTTGCTTTCTTTTTAACCTCTTTCTGGGATAATCTTGGCTCTTACTATAGACTGAACATATGAGATGACAGGGGACAAATGGCCTCCACCTTATTTCCGAATTCCAGTACGTGATCTCAGGGACCTTTATATTGCCACTGGGTCTCGGGCTAAGTTGTTAACGGGTGGTAGGCATCTTTCTCCTCTAGCTGCTTCTGAATCATTTTGTTCTAAATTATGAATATTTTTTGGCAGATGTGACTTGATTAGTTTCAATTTTCTTGACAAGGCACATTACAACTCAAATCATACAGTGACAGCCTTCTGGTAACCTCTCCAAAGGTTCTGAGTTCCCTGGCTTGATCCCTCACATAATTAAGTGGGAAGGAAGGCAGAAATGCCATCAGTACTGCTCCAAGGTTGAGGCCGAAGTATTACCTGGACAGCATGCATAGTGATACTCACGGTAAAGGGTTCCTTTTCCATAGCATGACCCTGCTTTCCTCTGCCTCATGGCCTCTCTGCCGAGCATCACCCCCATTTTCCCCAACGACTGGCTGTACTTTGAAACAATCCATTTTCTCATCCCATGTCCCCAGAAGGGCGAAGTGAACTTTTCCTGATGGATCTGTCACTTCCCCTGTCACCTACAAGGACGGAGAGAGGGCTTTGGAGTACAGCCTTCACTGTGGGTTAGCTTACCGGACTAGTCTGGAAACAGAAGTCCTACGGCCAATACTGGTGAAATTTTGCTACAACAAACACCACGGAGCACCCAAATTATTTTGGTATACTTTTTTGAGCTGCTTAAAATAAATGAGCCATGAGTTGGGGTTTCATCATTTTGTTGTACAGGGATTATTGTTGCAATGATATATGCAGGAAAATGATCTGAATGGTCCTCAGAATTATGGCATTTTCTTCTCTCTCTGATATTCTCTTCTCTCTGGTATTTCCTTCTTTCTTCAGCGACAGCCACAAACAGATTTAAATCCCCAGATCTTCTTCACTCTCCATCAAACTCAGGACGCAATTCCGCTGTGGTGGTGACGCAGGACTTGCGCTTAGACCTCACAGGGGTCAAATCGCCCATCCTTCTTCCTGAAATCCTACTGTGTATTCCCATTTTCAATCTCTCCTTGCTCTTGACTTTCACTTTCTTACTTAATGTCTTTACCAGAAAAGACAACGACTTGGTTTTGTAATGCAATCTAGTCCCCCTTCCTGCTGATTTTCTCCTTTACTTCTCCTTTTTTTTTTCCAAATCACCACATACATATTTAGGAGATATATACATACACGTTTGGACTATCTCTTCATCCATCATCTACACCAGCCCCCGAAGAGTAGGATTTCTAAGGGACACACACTAAGGAAAAACATGTAAACTCCAACTTCTCTTACCTTTCTTGCTACATCACGAGAGAAGTAGCTATAAGGAACAAATTTAAGATTGCACTTGTCTCCCGTCTTGTGATTCACAATATCAATTTCACCAGACTATAAAATAAAAAGCATCATGGATTGATTTTATTAAGACCGGAGGACTTGAATATCTGCCAGACCCCATGCCTCATAATTCTTCACTTTTCCATCATGTACTCTCAGACTCCCTTGCTTAAGGGTCTCAACCGACCCCAAAAAGCTGTGAAATCCCTCTGGAACCTTAGTATTCCGGGTTAGGATCAAGACCAAACGGCCTTCTGGCTTTCTGTCAATCATGTGTCACGTGTTAGGCGGCATGATTTGCCTTTCAGCACATATGTTAATATTCACATAATAATTTACCTTTCCAAACCAACCCCCCACTCATACCCTTCACGAACTCTGTGCTTAAATCAAAGTACTCTACTTACGATTCCAAGGTTACATATGGTGGGCCTTTCTACTTTTTATTCATTTTCTCCTCCTTTCTATCTTCTAAATCCCAAACCACGTTAAGACTCAGCTTGGGGTGCCTGGGGGGCTCAGTCAGTTAACTGTCGAACTCTTGGGTTTCGGCTCAGGTCATGATCTCAGGGTCATGAGATCAAGTCCTGCACTGGGTTCTATGCTCAGCGTGGAATCTGCTTGAGATTCTCTCTCTCTCCCCTCTCCTTCTGCCCCTCCCCTCGCTTGCCCCCGCCTCTCTAAAATAAACAAATAAATATAATCTTTAAAAAAAAAACAGTATTCCCTTTTCTGACTTTATTGCAACCATTGTCTTAAGAGCAGACTGACAATTAGATGTTATCTTAGTACAGCTCTTAACACTAACGTATTTTGTTAATACTTTTCAATCTGTACGTATTTGTCATGTTATCTTCAATGATACAATAATTCTTTGAAGGACAATGTCTTATCTGGTTTTGTATCCCCAAGACCTAGCACTTTGCCTAGCAGTAAATGTCTGATGAATAATGAAAGGATGAAGAGTAGGAGCCGTGTTTATTATTCTGTTGTACTTTCACAGTAGTCAACACAGCCCTGGTAGAGTAGTCACGGAATGAATGTTATAAATTGGTCATTTACAAAAAATAATTTGTGGTATAGAAACTTGGGAGGTCGGGGTGGGGCTTCTGGCTGAAAGCAATTCCTTAGGAGAAACAGGTAAATCCATAACAGTAGTCTGGGGCCAGGTCACACGTCCTTGATACTGCACAGACGTACCTATGAATGTATTCTTCTCAACTTTGGGCACCTTTGCTTACCTGATCTATCCACAACTTGCCCACGATAATGTTGTGCACCGTTGTGGTAACCTTCTTCCAAGTGTAATGGTGCCCCGTTGCATGGAAAATACAGTGGATACTACCTGGAAACAGAGAAAGGTACACAAATTAAGTCAAATATTAGAACAATAGCACCATGTTAGCTACAAATAACAATGGATTGATTTTCTTCTATCAATATTTCTTACTTTTAAAAGGAAAACAATAAACCAAAAAGGATTTATAATCTTCTTAAATGTTGGAAGCACTGATTGAACTTTTTCACTTCATTTTTAAATTTATTAATAAACTATAACTAAATGATGACAAACACTGACAACTGATAGAGCTTAGCTAGGAAGCAATATTCTGCCATTGCAGAAATAAAAATGAAAGCAAAACTCCAATCTTTTCACCAACTGTGCCTGCCATACAAGTCGCAAAATTTACAGGAACAGGTCAAATCTGCCCCAACATGAAAAAATAAAATTGAACGGCGGAAAGGAGCACACATTGGTGGTCAGGCCTGAGGTCCAGGCCCTCTTGTTAGTAACTAGCTGTGTGACCTGAAGTGAACCACTTTTCTAAGGGCATTAACAGTAATGGAGTAGTGGACAGAGCAGGGGCTTTGGAATCAGGCAGAACTGGACTGAATCCTGGCTCCAACACTCATTAGAGGTGTGAACCTGGGCTGTATAATAAAGAATCTGTCTGGTCTTTGTCCGTGGTTCCCGGGAGGGAACCTCTAAACCCTTGGACTTTCCCAAGTGATAGCAGTATCTGTGTTATTCATGGGGGCCCTGATAGTTTATGCCAATGAGGTAACATGGTGGGCCCCTGGATAGCTTATGCTCAGGATGAGGCCAGGCCAGAAAGATCAACCATGTAGTAAGAGACTCGGGGCCTTGAATCACTTGAATCACTTGCTATCAGCAAAGATCGGGACCTCCCGATCTCCTGGGAATGGTATTCCCTTCCCTCCAGGGAAGGGAAGGAGACCTGGGTATTGACTGTAGTCATGTGGCCAATGGCTCAATCATGCCCACCTAATGAAACCCTAATAAAATCTCTGGACAATGAAGTTTGGTGCAGCTTCCTGGTTGGTGAACACATCAATGTGCGAGGAGGATCATGCGCCCTGATTCCATGGGGGAAGGCATGGAAGTTCTATGTTCAGGACACTTGTAGACCTTGTCCTGTGTGTCTCTCCATTTGGCCGGTCCTGATTTATACCCTTTATAATAACTATGATAGTGAGGATAGTTCTTTCTTGGGTTCTATGAGTCATCCTAGCAAATTATCAAAACTGAAGCCAGTTGATCAGAAGTACAGAGGGCCTGGGAACCCGCAAACTTGTGGCTGGCACCTGTGGTGAGGGCAGTCTTGTTGGAGCCTGTGCCCTGGACTTATGGGGTCTGCATGAATCTGGGTGGTTAGCAACAAAACGCATTAGAGTACTATATCCTGCATATGTTTTGTAATTTCCCTAGGCCTCAGCTTTATTATCTGTAGACTTGAGATAAGCACACTTGGGATAAGCACACCTTGTTGTGCAGTAAATACAGTTTACCTGCGCAGTAAAATGCTTGAAACATAATGGGCACTCAGGACATAATAAGCTTCTCTTGTCCCTATGAGTTCATTTCGCATACCAAGCCAAAAAGTGAGGTGAACAGAAGTGACTAGAGATTCAACATAATTAAGAACTTACACATATATACAAGAACTATATATATATATGTATATATTTTTTAAAGATTGTATTTATTTATTTGAGAGAGAGAGAGCACACGCACATGTACGAGTCGGGGGGGTGGGGGCAGAGGGAGAGTGAATCCCAAGCAAACTCCGTGCTCAGCGTGGAGCCCGATGTGGGGCTCGATCCCACGACCCGAGATTATGATCTGAGCCAAAATCAAGAGTCAGATGCGTAACCAACAGAGCTACCCAGGCGCCCCTCTATGTCTATCTTTATATACATGTTGACTAATACAGTCAGTTACAGTACCAGGATAAGTCTAAGCTCCCTCTGCAACCACTAATGAACAGAAGACTAATTATGTGTCTTTCTTTCTCGTACAAGAGATTAAAATAGCCCTGCTGGCGGCAGCAGCAGTGATGACAACAAGGCCAAGGACAAGAGCAGCGGCTCTGCTGTCAGCACCTGCTGTGTCCCAGGCACCGGGCTATGCTCTCCTCAACTATTAGCTCATTTAATCTTCACAACCACCTTTCAAATATCTCTGCCACCTAAACATATGCTAAGTTTCCTGCTCAATACCTCTTCCACCGCGACTGCCGTCTAAAGCCACCATCAGGGGCACCTGGGTGGCTCAGTCGGTTAAGTGTCTGCCTTCGGCTCAGGTCGTGATCCCGGGGTTCTGGGATTGAGCCCCGCATGGCTCCCTGCTCAGTGGGGAGCCTGCTTCTCCATCTGCCTGCCGCCCCCCCTGCTTGTGCTTGCTCACTCTCTCTGACAAATAAATTAAAAAGTCAACTTTTTAAGTCAACTTACCACACTGTCTAAAATCTCTGTTTCTTCCCACTGCAATGAAAACAAAACTCAACTCCTTTCCGTGGTGTACAAAACCCTACAAGATCTGGCCCCCGTCGACTCCTCGGATCGCACTCGGGAGCTGCTGTGGCCTTTGCGCTTCTCGAGCATACTAAGCTCGCTCCCCTCTCAAGGGCCTTTATCTTTAAGGGGTTCTCTCTGCTGGGACACTCTTTTTCAGATCTTCTGTTTGGCTTTTCATTAGTTAGCTCTCTGCTCAAACGTAACATCTTCAGAGAGAACTTCCTTGGTGACCTTGTCCAAGGAACCACCACAAAACACATTCATTTCTCCACCACTCACCCCATCTCTGCTTGTTCTATTTCTTCATAGAATTACCACTATATAAAATTAAATAATTATTGACAATAATTATTGTCTAGGTGTTCGTTTACTTTTATGTCTGCTTAAGAAAAGAATGCAAGCTGGGGCATCTGGGTGGTTCAGACGGTTAAGGAACTAGCTCTTGATTTTGGCTCAGGTCACGATCTCAGGGTCTTGGGATCAAGCCCCACACTGGGCTCCATTCTGGGCATGGAGTCTGCTCGAGATTCTCTCTCGCCCTGCTTCTGCCCTCCCCCACCCCCAACTCACACACTTTCTCCCCCGCCAAAAAAAAAAAAAAAAAAAAGGAAAGAAAAGAATGCAAGCCAAGTGAGGGCAAAGTGGCTTTTGTCCGCCATTACAGAGCCAGAGCACCAGGAACAGTTTCCGGCGTACAGTGCACACTCAAATACCTGCTGACACCTCAGCTGTGGGCACTATTATCCCCCATATTTGTTTCTATTGCTGCTAGCACCAACTGCCACAAACTTTACAGCTTAAAACTACACGGTTGTTAAACTGTTACATTTCTGGAAGCCAGAAGTTTAAAATCAAGTGTCAACAAGGGCTGTGTTCCCTCTGAAGGCTCCATGGGAGATCCATTTTCTTGCCTTTTCCAGACACCAGAGGCCACCTGCATTCTGCAGCCTGTGGTCTCTTCCCAATGTCACTCTTGCTTCTGTTGTCACTGCCTCTGATTCTCCAGCCTCCCTCTCATAAAAACCTTTGTGATTGTATTTGAGCCTATAGAAATACTCCAGAATTGTCTCCCCATCATCTCAAGATCTTTAATTTAACCACACCTACAAAGTTCCTTTCACTATGATTTGTTAGATATTCACAGGTTCCAGGGATTAGGATGTGGACATTATTTGGAAAGGAGGGGAGCATTATTTAGCCTACCACATCCCCCTTTTATCAACAAAGACTCTGAGCTCGGAGAGGTAATTTTCCCAAGGTCACAGAGCTAGTAAGGGCCAGAGATGAAGTTCAAAGTAAGATCAGAATGTCTGCACTGCCCAATACCATAATCTTATGTCCCACCCTGCTAATGTACCCGTTGTTCTGTAGAGTGTCCCCTTCCAGCTCCCAGGCATAATGGAAAAACAAAGAAAGCCCCATGACTGCCTTCCTTTATATAATATTTGTGTCTCGGAGACTTGACAGTAAGTTAAAGATCTAAAAATTGAGGCACTTAAAATATATGAAAAGGAAGATAGGCACTTCAGAATGGTCAAGTAAGGACTTTATATATCTGTTCCTCAGTAAAATCAGTAAGAACACTAGGCAAAAATAATCAATCAACTTTTTCAGAACTCTACTAAGAAAAATGAGTTTTGGGGCGCCTGGGTGGCTCAGTCGGTTAAGCGACTGCCTTCGGCTCAGGTCACGATCCTGGAGTCCCGGGATCAAGTCCCGCATCGGGCTCCCCGCTCAGCGGGGAGTCTGCTTCTCCCTCTGACTCTCCCCCTCTCATGCTCTCTCTCTATAACTATCTCTCTCAATAAATAAATAAAAATCTTTAAAAAAAAAGAAAAAAGAAAAATGAGCTTTGTGGCATTTTAACTTGCCCTCTTTCCATCCTCCTCTCCCCAGCTTGGCAGTAGCCTTGAAAACCAGCAGCCTCACAATCACGGTAGACATGAAAACCAGCAAGCAGACTAGCAAACACTGGAGGCAGCAGATGGTATGAAGCTCCCCAAAAGCTCAATCTCTAAGGAACTGTCACTATCTGACCGGTCTGGTGGTTCCTGCAAAAGGGCTTATCTTTATTTGACGTGACTTAGCATCTGCTCACCTCAAACAGCCTTCTCCCAGGGGTGACAAACAAAACAACCAATGACAATTGTTTAACACAGTAGCTGCCTGAGGTGGTGTTCACAACTGGAGCAGTTAAGGGGGCCCCTGGGTGGCATCCGACTTTTGGTTTGGGCTCAGGTGATGATCCCAGGGTCGTGACATTGAGCCCAGCACCAGGCTCTGCACTGAGGATGGAGTTTGCTTGGGACCCTCTTTCTCCCCTCTCCCTCTGCCCCTTCCCCGGTTGCTCTCTCTCTAAAACAAAACAAAACAAACAAACAAAACCCCCCAATTGGAGCAGTTAAATAAATAATGGCCCCAAATTCCAAATTTGATGAAAAACATTAATCTGCATATCCAACAGGCACGATGAACTCCAACAGGATAAACTCGGAGAGCACCATGCCAGAACCCATCATAATCAAACTACTGAGAGACAAAGAGAGACTCCTGAAAGCACTAAGAGAGAAGTGATGCATCACATATACATGATCCTCAATAAGATTATCAGAAACTTCAGAGGCCAGAAGGCAGTGGGATGACATAACCCAATAATGCTGAAAGAAAAAAATTTAGGAAACCAAGAATTCTATAGCCAGCAAAACTATGCTTCATAAACAAAGAACTTAAGACATTTTCAGACAAACAAAAACTTAAAGAATTCATAGCTAGCCGATCTTCAATAAATATACTAAAGGAAGTCTTTCAGGATGAAATGAAAGGACATTGGACAGCAACTTAAATCTCCATTAAGAAGAGACTAGTAAGGGGCACCTTAGTGGCTTAGTTAAGCATCTGCCTTCAGCTCAGGTCATGATCCCCAGGTCTGGGGGAGCCCCGCATCGGGCTCCCTGTTCAGCATGGAGTCTGCTTCTCCTTCTGATCCTCCCCCTCCCCATGCTCTCTCTCTTTTTCTCTCTCAAATAAATTAATAAAATCTTTTAAAAAAAGAGACCAATAAAGGTAACTATAATTAAACTATTAAAAATAACAGTATATATTTTTTGTTTACAACTTTTTTTATGCTATATGATTTAAAAGACATGCCTATAAAGCAAGTTATAAAACTATGCTGATGAGATTACAATGTATGAAAACAATTTACATGAAAATAAAAACACAAAGGAAGAAAAAGGTACTGGATCTATATAGTTGCAAAGTTTTGGTGTACTATTGAAATTAAGTTAGTATTAATCTGAACAAGATGCTTAGATGTTAATCGTACTACCCAGGATAACCACTATAAAAATACCTTTAAAAATACAGTAAAAGAGGTAACAACGGAATTAAAATGGTGAACTAGGAAAGTATGTAACATAAAAGAAGGAACTTACAGAGGAAGAGAGAACAAAAAAAGACAAGATATACAGAAAACAAAAACTAACAAACAAAAAACCCAAAAAACAAAAATGGCAGATATAAATCCTACCTAATCAGTAAGTAATTATAAGTAATCACTCTAATCAAAAAGCAGAAATTGCAAGAATGTTTAAAATATATAAGGGGAATTTTTGTACTAAAATGCCATTCGGGAGCAAAATTCAAGGTCCACGGAGACCCACCGTGTCACTGATGCAGAGATTCAGGCTGACTGGTTGTTTCATTCATATTCCCTAATTGTGATTCTCCTTGGGTTAGAGAGCTCCAACACTACAAAATAACGCCCATTTAAATGTGTCTTTTTAGGGGCCCCTGACTGGCTCAGTTGGTAGAGCATGCAGCTCTTGATCTCGGGGTTATGAGTTTGAGCCCCACAATGGGTGTAAAGAAAATTACTTATTAAATTATTACTTAAAAATCTTAAAACAAATAAATACCTATATACATAAATATGTCTTTCTTTTTTTTTCTTTATTTATTTTTAAAGATTTTATTTATTTATTTGACAGAGAGAGACAGTGAGAGAGAGAACACAAGCAGGAGGAGTGGGAGAGGGAGAAGCAGGCTTTCCGCTGAGCAGGGAGCCCAATGCGGGGCTCGATCCCAGGACCCCGGGATCATGACCTGAGCCAAAGGCAGATGCTTAACGACTGAGCCACTTAGGCGCCCGCTTTTCTTTCTTTCTTTTTAAAGATTTTTAAAATTTATTTATTTGTCAGAGAGAGAGAGAACAAGCAGGGGGAGCTACAGAGGGAGAGGGAGAAGGAAGCTCCCCGCTGAGCAGGGAGCCCGATGCAGGGCTTGATCCCAGGACTGTGGGATCGTGACCTGAGCTGAAGGCAGATGCTTAACCAACTGAGCCACGCAGGTGCCCCATTTGTTTCTTTTCTTTTAGAGAGAAGGAGAATGTGGGCATGTGGGTGAGGGGGAGAGGGAGAGATAATCCTAAGCAGGCTCCATGCTCAGTGTGGAGCTCAATGTGGGACTTGATCTTATGACCCTGAGATCATGATCTGAAATCAAGAGTAGGATACTTAACCAACTGAGCCACTCAGGTGCCCCAAATGTGTCTCTTTCAACTTTAAGGCTACCACCTGGTTCCAATATCCTGGAACTTGGTGAGCAAGTTCACATGTATCCTCTGCCACTGTCTTCATTTTGCACACTTCCATGTTTTCTAGAAGCATTCTTCTTTCTAGATTGCAGGAGTTCTAAGTTTTCTAATCTATTTTACAAGGAGACTCAGACTCCCTGCCACCACCTCCAAAAACCATCTCTTTGCCTACTCACTCACAACCCTGTCCAAAAATTGTTCTTCAGTGACATCTATTGGTTTAACAATTTACCCTAGGAGAGTCGAATGCCATTGCAAATGTGAAAATTTCACTGAAGGATTCTCCTTCCAAGTCACTGATCCAAAATATTAAATACAGCCATCCCCAGGGCCACTGTCCAGAAATCCCACTCTCTGTACTTGAGTTTCCTGTCACTATGTCAATTCTTTGTTCAGTCTCCCTATGAAAGCTGGGATCTTTGCTTTGCTCACTTATACTTCCTGCCTTACCGGTATATGGCACGTGCTCAGTATTTAATGGATGGAGGGACTTAAGACAACACAACCTGGTGACCTGAATCCTTAAATAACCATAGGAATGGAATCCTATCAAAGATAATTTTTTAACTCTAAAAAGTTAGATCCACCACATATACCATGTTCATATAGTTATTACCCCTCAGGGAACTCTATATTAGTCAAATCATAGAGAAAATGTATCACTGGTAGATTTACTGCTATTTTATTGCTATTTATGAGATTTATTGCTACTTTTAAACAAGCTCCCCTTACTTGTTCTCTCTCTCTCTCTGACAAATAAATTTTAAAAATCTTAAAAAAAAAAAAAAAAAAGAAAAGGCAGCTCCTTAGAATTAAAATCCATCCCTTTGGAGATCCTCAGGGGGCCTCAAACTTCTCCATGGGTGAAAGTCGTATTGTAGTATGACCATTAACATCCTGGTTCTGCAAATTAGGTTAGAACACCCCAGGCTTTACTACTCTTAACCTAATACTTCTGAAACTGTTAGCATCTAAGACAGTTAAGCAATTTGAACCTAGTTTTCTAAGGTCTTCAGTGACCGTCAAGACCAAAATCCCTCAGTCACCTTTGATCTAAGAGTCTTTTGCATATCAACCACGAGCCCTAGAGCTAACACTCCCGTTTCTTTTCTCCTTTTAATATATCACAAACATTCCTGCATTTGTTTTCTGGCTAATTTTTTTTTTTCTAGAAACTCTCTAATTTCTATACCTGCTACATTTTGTATTTCTGAGAGAAAGGGGAATTTACTAAAGAAGACGACTCTAGCCCAGCACTAAGGCTACGTACGCCTCATGACAGACTAGAACTGGGAAGTGGAAGGCCACCAGGAGCTTAGGCAGTTACACT